ATATGAAGAATTATCACCTGAGAGACTTAATAATGTGTTCTTAACTTTACAACGGGTGATGGATCAAGTTATTAACAACAATGAAGGGAACGAGTTCAAAATCCCTCACATTGGAAAAAGTAAGCTGGCTAGAGAAGGAAGACTATCATAGAACTTAGGGGTCAGCACAGAAGTGTATCAGAAGGCACAAACATTCTTAGAGGAAAGGATGTAAGTACCCTACCTTTTGGAACTTTTTGTTATGGATGCAAACATGGCAAGAGTAAAGTACAATACCTGCATGTATTTCCAAGTGACAACCTTTTTTTTGCAAATTTTTTGTAAGGAAAAGAAGAACAAGTGTTGTATCTAACTTAGTTAGACTTATCTTGGTAAGACAGTGTCAAGGATTTTTTGTTGGTAAATAATACATTGGAGTGTAAATATGCCTTATCTTCGCTCAAGTGTCCAAGTGTAGCATCTATATTAATTTCATTGAAAGGGAAATGTATGTAATGTTTGGTTAAGTGTCAAAGTGTAGCATCTATCTTCTCAAATCCTAGTGTGGCAAGTATAACATCTATTTTATCAATTTCAAGTATGGCAAATGTAGCATTTGTTTTATCATTTTTAAATATGACAAGTATAATATCTATTTTATCAATTTCAAGTTTGGCAAGTATATCATCTATTCTATCATTTTTAAGTACGATAGGTATATCATATGTTCTTACAATATAGCTACAATAAAAATAATAAAGCTCACACTTGTCTTACCACATAGTTTTCTCGCAGCACAAACAAAGGGTTGATCAGATGCATGGACTAATTGAGTTATGTAAGTCTCTAACCAATACGGGGTGACATTATAATATAGCTATAGACAGAAATAAAATTAAACTTACATATATCCAATCAATAAGAATAATCAAGTTTCATAAGTTTGCAACTGAACATTGAAGAGGGACATGCAACTACTAATTAGAGCCTTGGCGTAGAGCCTTGGCGTCATCTCTATAGGGTTCATCAAACACAATTTTAGTATTAGACATGTCTAAGATCTGCTCAGTGGGTAACAGATTCCTCATCTTCCCCGCCATCTTCCACAAATCTTCCTTCATCCTTCGATGGGAAATGGTCTCCTCCAAGATACTTTTCACGGTACCATTAGGTTGGATCTGTATCTAAAGTTTAGAGCCACTATCGGCTTAGTTATATTTAGGGATCGCAAGCTTCAAAGAACTTCTGGTTCGCGAAGGATGAGACATTTCCTCTTCGCTATCGCTTAATAGCTTGAAGTTGGACATCGTAAGGGCAGGAATCACCATCAGTACTGAATCAATTTCCGACTAAGAGGGTAGAAGGGAGATCAGAAGAGAGAAAGTAGCGACGACTGGGAAGGGGAATGGGCAGATAGAGAGAGAGGATTTTTTGATAACTACGGATGGGTGGATGGGCTGGGTTGGAAATAGTTTAGGTTAAAGGCTAGATGAGTCTTTTTTAGACAAATGAGAAGGAGAATGTGGGTCACCAAATTTTGAACCAGGAAAAACCTTTTGAGATGGAGAGAGTATCAAATGGAAATTCAAAAAAGTGCATATTGACCAAATATTTTATAGAAATTTGAAAAGTTGGTGTTAACGGCTATATTTATAAGGACTGAATCGCCATCAGTACTGAATTGCCATCAGGAGTTTTATTAAAACTCCTAATGATTTATAAATACTCGATAACTTAATAGAAATGGAACAATAAGTCTATAGAATAATTCAAATGACATCCATACATGGTGTCATAATATAGCACCAATGTCGTCATTTATGAATACGATATTCCATGAGATCGTGTGATACCCTTTAACCCCATATAAACTATCAGTCCACCGCCTCTGTAGCCTCTCGATCGGTGTTAGTGGGTTCCCTTCAGCCAGGACCGGCCTCGAAGAATGAAAAAATGGAATAGGACCGGTTTGAAATTTACATTTTGAGTCCTATTTTATCATTTTAGAACACTTAATGATAAATTTAAAAATATGGGGATCTAAAATTTTAAGGACTCTGTACAGTTGGCCGCCACTTTGCACACCCTCCGGACCACCCATGCCTTCAGCCGTATTTATCACTCCTATGTGCGACTTGCACCCCGCCTAAAGAGCATCCTTAGCTTAAACTCTACCTTTTCCCTGATTATTGACTCAACAAAACATCATATGGCTCCCAAAGAATACAATGTCATTTTATGACTTTTTCAACAAATAGTTGTAATTTCCCAAGAATTTAAATTGTCACTATACTATACTCTGTATAGTCCGTATTTTCTTTGTCCTTTAAATTCTTTACAATTTATTTTTTTCGTCCAACTATTACATACTCCTTGCAATAAGCTTTATTCATACTAAGTATAATTTCAAAGAATAATTGTTATAAAGATTTGATATATCAAATATACATTTTTAATGAATTTAATTATATTGAAGTTTATATTATAGATAGATATAATTTTTTCATAATTATAAAGAGTAGCTAAATACACATACTTTAATTTTTTTAACTTGCGTCAAAATTGGTAAAATATGATCAAAATGGGACGCAGGAAATATGTTGGACAATAAACATCGAACACTCCTTCAAAAAAAAAATAAACATCGAACATTATCCATCTGCGACTACAAGAAAACGCCAAAAGAACGACGAAATTTGGCAATGGAATACTTTCTGTCGTTCGTAGCGACGGAATTAGCGACGAATTTTGGATGCCTACCGGACGTAACGACGGATTTAAAGTTCCGTCGTTAGGTATACGTGGGAAGTGGTGCGCGCCTTTTATAGCAACGGAAATGGCAACAGAAATGTTCCGTCGTTAGTTTGGCAACGGAAATAAACCGTCGCCTACTTCATTTTATCTAAACGCATCGTTTTGGCTTAGCGACGGAATTTTTCCATCGCTAAATTCCGTCGCCGCACGATTCAGATCTTAAATATGAAATTCCTTTTCTAAGACAGTCAGAATGCCGAAGACGACATTGAAGTGCAGAACAGAACGTCGTTCGCCGTCCAGCACCCTGCCACTCGCCGCCGCTCGTTGTCCATCTGCTGCCGGTCTTCATCTTCAAATATCAGGTTTTTTTTCATTTTCTTACAATTGAACTTGAAAAAAAATTGACTATAGATTATATATTTATACTTGAATACAAAATTATTATTGATTGATGATATATATTAAGAGTACATTATGTAAATTATTTGACATTTAGTTCTAATTTTAAAAGTTATTGAAATTAGGGTTTTTTCCCCAAAATTTTGTCATTTTGTTTTAAAAACTTAAATATATATTCTTGAAACTTTTAGTGAACGAATATTATGCTTATTAATTTTTTCATAGCATATTTTAGATATTGTAAATGTTATATATATGATGATTGTGTACGAATTATGTATATGTTATTCAATATTGTAATTCTTGCATTTATATTATATTTTTTAGTTTGTTTTTAATAAATTATATAACTTAATAGTATGTTAATTTTCTTTGTTTGAATTTCTCAAAATGAGTGACTTTCATGAAAATCGAGATTGGATGTACAAAAGACTTGATAGTTTAGATTTTATAAATACAGATTGGGTTGACAAAGTAAGACAATTCATTGAGTTTTGTGAGTCAAATCCAAAAGTAGATAGATTGAAAGGGCAGATGCATTGTTCCTGTAAGATTTGTAAGAATTGATCGCTCTAGCATGTGATTCTACATATATATCTTTTTTTGCTTCTATACATGATTATAATATATTATACAGGTGTAAATATAATATCATGTAGTGTCATCATCACGGAGGAGGGAGCTCAAATAATTTGTTCCACATTCCAGCGGAGGCTCGATCCAACATGGGTAGTAGGAAGAGCCTAAGCGACGCGACAATGGACTTTTACTGGAGAGAGTTTTAGAAAAATCGCCGTGGCGGTGACGAGAGTGTCCCTGCTAGCGCCACACACACCGGTAAGTACTATTAGTAACAAAAATTACATTAAAATGCTCTAAGTGGCATGTTTCCACTTACATTAAAAAATCGTCGCTAACTTAGATACTAACGAAAAAATAACGACGGAAAAAAACCGTCGTTAATTCCGTTGTTAAACCGATTACCTACGGACAGGGGCGGATCTACTCCCAAACAATTGGGGTCAAATGCCCCCAACTAAATTTTGGTGTTAAACTAATAATTTTTTTAAAAACAAAAAATTATTATATTTTAGGCTGCATGCCCCTATCTAAAATTGGGATTGACCCCATCTCACATTATTTACTCCCTACAAAAATGAATGGAACCTTATTTAATTAAGCTAACTTTTAATTTTTTGTTTAATCTTATTGAAGTAAAGTGTATTTTATTGCATTTAATTTATTGTTTAAAATAAAATTTTACATTACTGATTAAATAAAATTTTACCTTCAATAAATGTTTAAAATAAAATTATTATTTTTGTCATTTCAAATTATCTTTTTTTAATAAAAAAATTAGGGGCGCTGCCTCGATCAATTGTGCCCCCATCTACCAAAATTTCTGGATCCGCCACTGCCTATGGAAAAAAGCCTTTGGCGACGGAATTCCGTCGCGATTTTAGCAGTTTTTTGTAGTGTATTTCTTAGTTCTTAAAGGACAATAAAGAAATGGCAAGTATTTTCGGACTTAAAATATAAATTCTTTCTTAGAAAAGGCAATAGTATTTAATGGCGCTGAGATAAGAGATTGAAATATACTCTTTCCGTCCCTTAAAGTCCGTCCCATTTCTATTAAAAACCCACTTTTACCTCTTACTTTTTCATATTCTACCTATTACATCATACTTTTTTCCTAATAATCTACCCATCGCATCTTACTTTTACCTCTCACATAAAGGATATTTTTGGAAAGAACATAAAATTATCCTTTCTTATTTTACCACTTAAGTCAAAATGTCCCAATCTTTATGGGACGGAGGAAGTATTAAATATTAACTATCCTTTCAACGCACTCACAGACAAGTCGTTGTAGTATAGTGGTAAGTATTCCCGCCTGTCACGCGGGTGACCCGGGTTCGATCCCCGGCAACGGCGTTCTTTTTTATTTCTACATACTTTTTTTGGTCGTAGAAAAGTAAATCCAATCTGCTCAATAATTCTTTTTGCCATTTTCAATCGCGTCTGCAAAACAGAGTTGGAACCCTAATCAATCTGCTTAAGCGCAATTCCCCTCCATCACTTAGAACCCTAATTACGCTCACGAGTAGTCGTTTTCTGAGAGGTAGCTCTATAATCTTATACTTTTCTTGTTTTTGTATCTAATCTATCGCATCATTCCTCTGAATCCTTCGTTTTTTTAAAATGTTTTTTGGGGATTTCCTGTGTATTCAGGAGGAATATTTTAATCTTGCAGGGTTTCCTTGTAGATTAGGGTTTATGTCTAAGCTCTGTGAATTTCTCTTGTCCGTATCCATATAATCGGAAGATAGGCTCGTTCTTTATCCTTCAATTCAATCTTCTAACCCTAGAAAGATAGCAGCTCATTATTGAGCTGGGTTTTGTTTTTGTTCAATGTTGTTGTTGTGCTTTCCTGCTAAGCGTTTATGCTTAACGATTTTCAAGAATTGTTTTGTGTGCTAAATCTTTAAGGTGACAATTCCACGGTTGATATAATGATTTAGTACTTTATGTTTCTTCAAGAATGACGCCTTATATTGTAATTGGACTGTGATGATGAAGCATCTGTGTTCTGATTCGTTTTTTTTTATGAAAGCTGTTCTAGTTCTCTTTGGTTGTAGAATCTTATCATTTTATCATCCAATGTGGGAGTGCTTTTTGTCTCTTTGGTTCAGAATTCTACAATGGTTTATGATTCTTGAGATGTTATGATGCCTGTAATTCTCTTTCCCCGTAGGTACGATGATCAGATTGTTCAAAGTAAAAGAACAACAAAAAGCTAATGAAAATGCAGGCGGAAATGGTCCTGTTAACAGGCAGACTGCTGGGGGACTGCGTTTGCGCAGAGGTCTGACCCTATTACAGGCTTACTCTCTCTCTCTCTCTATGTGTGTGTGTGTGTGTGTGTCTCCTTTCACCAGCAATATTTATTTTTCTTCATATGATTTCTTGGAGTTTTCTTATGTATGTATGTGGAATTTCCAAACATGAAGATCTAAGTGGCTTTTTTTCTATATACATGATGTGATTTGACCTTTTTATTTTTTTATGTTCTTTTAAGAAATATTATGTTTTAAAAAATGAAGAACTGTGTAAATCTCTTACGATCTACAGACATCACTGAGCTGAACCTACCTAGATCTTGTCCAATTTCTTTTCCCAATGGGAGTGATGATTTGATGAACTTTGAAATCACCATCAAACCAGATGAAGGATACTATCTGTAAGTAATTTATTTCAATCACTGTTGTTGTTCCTTCCATTTGTGTTGCGGAAGCACTACAAGCACTGTATTCACATTTCACTTCTGCCATGTACTGGGTAAAATTTATACAAGCAGCCTAAGCACTTGAGTCTGCTTTTGGGCAATAGAAATCCCAACTCTTGATTGAAGCATACTAGATTCGTTTTGTTTGGTATTAGTAAACACCAAAGTCAGAAAAACTTGCTTACTATGTAAATTCCATAGAAGTGGAGAAACAAAGCACATTTAATACTCCGTAGTAATTAAATGCTCCCTCCGCCCTGTAAACAAATTCGTAGTTTGACTTCACGGAGTTGTTAAAAAACGTTGAAAAGTGACAAGAGAGTTAGAATTTTTTCGGAAGAGAGGAATGTTGTGAGCTACATTTTCATTTCCTTAAGAGTTAAAGGGAGAAGTGAAATTTTTTTAGGACATACCAATAAGGAAGTGTTAACATCTTTGTGTGAAGGAGGGAGTACAAAATTTGGCATTTTATTTGGTATCACATAAACCATTAGCAGCCAAATTATGGTCAGGAACAAAAGTTTTTACTATCCAAGGCTTTTTTGCTAACAGTCAAAACCGAACTCCATCAATCACTTTCATTTTATTTATGCAAACTTTGGAAGACAAATGGTATAAGTGTATAGCAAAACAAATGATTTGTATTAATTTCAGCAGGAGCAATCTTTCAACCATTTTTTTGAATATAGGCTTAAGTGTAGGACTGTAGGCTCAATCAGAGAAACATTCCATTCAGATGAACCCCTCATTGATCCCAGCGTAATTATTTCTGAACGTGTCAATGGATTGAATGGAGTAAAAATCATCAACAAACTGTTCTAGTATACTTTGTCTCTTTGAAGCTAAATGGCACAAATAACAAGCTTGCAAGGGATGCCTCTCAATAATTTTTCTCTTAAACTTTCAAGGCACTCTATAAGAGTTATCTTTCTTGCTTCCAATATACATGCATTAAAACTTCCACGAACATTATTCACATGCATATCAGACTTGCAATCTGCCCTCAACCATTAACACACATGCTTTTTGTCAAACTTTTTAATTGTATGCATCCTGCATCATACGAGGGTAATGTAGTTGCTCTTACAGTAGTCAAGATGCATTTCACTTCAGGATGTTTCAGGAAGAAACTTATTTGGGGGAGTAGAAATCCCAACTGAATTACATTGTTTTGAATTTCAGAGGTGGCAAATTTTTATTTTCTTTTCAAGTTTCTCCTTCGTATCCACACGAACCACCAAAAGTCAAGTGCAAGACAAAGGTCAAGCATCATCCTTCATTACTTCTCTTAATGCCAAATTATATATTTTCTGCTCATGTACACCATGAAACTATGTTTTATTTCCATGTTTCATTTGAAATCCAGGTATACCATCCGAATATCGATTTGGAAGGGAATGTTTGCCTCAATATACTCAGAGAAGATTGGAAGCCTGTGCTCAACATTAACACCATTGTTTATGGATTGATTCATCTTTTCACGGTATGAATTTAGAATCTGAGTGCCTAGGAATTACCTGTCTTCTTAAAATGACTATGACAAAAGCAGACTGTCCCTATCAATAATGTTCAGGAGCCCAATCATGAGGATCCACTCAATCATGAGGCAGCTGCAGTCTTGAGGGACAACCCAAAGTTATTCCAATCAAATGTGAGAAGGGCTCTAAATGGCGGGTACGTGGACCAGACATACTTTCATAGATGCACATAGCACGATGGCTCCAAAGTTGTGCATTAGTTTTTTTCCGTTTAAGATGTGTGCTTGTTGGTTGTAAATCATGATGCTACTACCGGTTATGGTCATCTGTGACTATTGATGTATCCAATAGGTTGGCATTGCTTTCTGGTTTAGACAAGTTTGAAGTTTGAACCCTAAGCTTCTAACTTCCAACTTGTTTGTCATCATTATCCCATTTCTTAAAAGGGTATTACCCTACAAGTACACACAGGGTTGCAAAAGACACTTGCAAACTTGACATTGAGTAAGATCTGTTGGGGATAATAATGATAACGCGGATCAATCCAAAGTCGTGTATAGCACTTTCAAATTGAATATTCGGTTGTTCAATCCAAAATTCAATCGGATAAAATTTGAAAGTAACAAGAACGAGTATGAGATTGATGTGACTTTTTCGAACTGTATTTTGATCAAAGGTTTCCAGGAATTTATAGAGTTGCGGAGGAGAAGAAAAGATGCGATTGCGTCTTTTGTCTAAGACGCGCGATCCTTCGCGCGAAATTTTGAACAAATCGGTGCTATCTTTTAACGAATTTTTCCTTTTAAAGAAAATTTGAAAAATAAAAGTTCAAATAAATTTTTAACATAGCAATTTGTCCAAAATAAAAAAATTTTGAGGCATCTGGACCTCAGCCCTGCAGGCGCTGCCGCCCCTTCAAAATTTTTATACCTTACAAAAAATCATGGAATTCTATTAATTGTAAAATACAATTTTTTTTATTTAGGGATGAAAAAATAAAAGATAAGTCAAGATTGGACTTTTTATGTCACATGGTCAAAGACGTGGAATAGAGGCTAGCTCGACATAGGTGAAGGTAGCACTTGAGATTGAGCCCCGTTGAACTTTGAGGAACTTTTTATGTCTCATGTCATCGGCAGGTACGTAGTATGTCCTAAACTAATTGGACTGTATGTCGAAGGTAGCACTTGAGATTGAGCCCCGTTGAACTTTGAGGAACTTTTTATGTCTCATGTCATCGGCAGGTACGTAGTATGTCCTAAACTAATTGGACCGTGCTACAGTGCACCCACCATTGCCTCCTTTGCTGCCTCCCTATTTAACCTATTTTTTTACCTTTTCTCTTTCTTTTTTTTCTTTTTTTTCTTTTGTTCTTTCCTCTACGTCGCTGCCTGGTGGCTCTGCTCTTCCGCGCAAGCCAGCCGTACCACTCTTCTCTCCATTTTCTGCGCTCTCCTTCCTACAAGGCATGTAATATCTTCTTTTTCTTATCTTCCTCTTCATATCTCTGATGCGCCAACCCTTGTAGCACGACCATCCCTCTGTCAACCTCTTCTCTTCATTCCATTTTTAGTCAATTTATATAGCAATAATTTTTTGAATTTTTGTGGAGTACATAGGGTATTTGGTGATTATGGATTTACAAACATGTATTGTTACACATGCTGAGAATGATCAACCACATGATTTTGGTGGTGAAGAAGACCTGGTTTTATATGATTTGCAGCCCAGTTGTAAGTGTTGATATTTAGACCCCATTTTATATTCATTTGAATTAGTGAAAAAATACTGTTTTGTTTTGATGTTACAGAGATTAAAGTTCTGTGAACCTAGGGTTTGTCCTTGTCACAGATGCTAATAATCTGTATGCACTCTGCATTTGGTGTATTTTTGTTTTCTTCATAGTCAGGCATTGTACTATATTAAAGCTGCTGTTTTTTTGCAGAGAAAAACCCGAAACCGAAAGAAGGTAGAAAAAATGATAACCTACCTAATAAGAGGAAGAAAATGGATGCGTCTGAGATCTTTGCATCACAACGGCAACATGCTTGGCCCGTGCAAGACGAAGATGGTGTTTACGACCTCACCTTGGGAGGTCTGGAGCTTGGCATTTCACTACATTGACTTTTAATTGTCCATTTTTGGCATCAGATCTAGAACTTTGCTCTCATTTTTGGATTGAGCATGGGAACTGTATTTCACATAGCTTTTTGCTTTTTGTGTAAAGTATGTAACAAATATGATATCTTTCTCTGAGTTCCATGCGCATAAACTGATGTAAACCTGATGTAACTCTGTTTTTACATACATTAAGTCTTTGTGAAGTGTGTGAAATAGACAGTTATTCCATGTGAGCCCGCTGAAATCTAATGTATGCATTTTAACTTTCTTTTTACCTTTACAAGACCCCCACATATGTGATAAGATTCTGAAGATGGTGTATGTACATAAAGTTATGTAACTCTGTCGTCACATACATTACATTTCTGTGAAATAGATAAAATAGATAGTTATTCTCTGTGAGGCTCTGAAAGTAAAACTGTAAATCAGTTATAAACTAATGTAAATCAGGAGGGGAGTCACTTACTTGTGGTTTTCCCTTGGATGGCCTTATGACTGAATCAGCCTTCTTGAAGAACTTCTTGAACTTCTGGAATTGCTTGACCATCATGGCAAATTCCTCATCGTAGTTCTCTATTTTTGAGCTTGACGGCTGGCTAGAGGAAGGTGTGTCACAGTTTCTTGTGCATGTCCCTTCACTTGATGGGATTCTTGGAGTTGTCATCAATGCCGTGGGGAAGGGAGTGACTTGTTCTTCCTTCTTCTTCTTCAGCTCGTGCTCATAGGTTCTGAGTTCATCAAGGAGACCTTGAACAGTGTAGTTCTCCAGGTTTATTCCTTCTTCCATGGCTGTGGCTTTGGTGTACCACTCAGTTGGGAGTGATCTCAGCAACCTCACATTCTTTTCTTTGGGAGAAAGAATGTGGTTAAGTGAAACAAGATCATTCAATATCTTGTGAAATCTTTCATCCAACATATCAAATGATTCTCCGGGAAGCATTTTGAAGCTTTTGAACTTCTCAAGCAGGACTTCTATCTTCTGCTTTCTCAAGTCCTCTGATCCCTCACATAGCTTCCCAAGACCTTGCCAAATCTCCATGGCAGTCTTCAGATGCTTAATCTTGGAGAAGGTGATGGGATCAAGTGTCTTGAAGATGGCTGCTTTGGCGACGTTGTCCAGATTGTGCTTTTTGCAATCTCTATCATCCCATTTTTCCTTGGGCTTTGGAATGTACTGGACTACATCTGGAGCAGCTGGATTCCTCTCAGGGTTCTCCATTTGGATTTTCAAGGGTCCATCCTCAAGCACCATCCACATGCAGTCATGTAGAGCGTAGAGATGTGCTTCAATCATGATCTTCCAATCATCATAACCTAGAAGAGAAAACTTGGGCAAACCGTGATCCATATTGTTCACCATTATGATCGCTTCTCGTTAATCTAAACGTAGATAGTGAGAACCTTGCTCCGATACCAATTGGTGGTCCCAAAGTGGTGAGATACAAAGTCTAGAAGGGGGGGGGGGTGAATAGACTTTGTTACAAATTTAAAACTTTTTCGTTTCTTTTGAAAACGTGAAAATGAGTGTTAATCTAGAGTTCTTGTGAACTTTAGATTGTGTGCGGAATTTGGTGGGTAGAGTGAGCAGTAACCAATATGGATGGGTTAGTTTTCACAGTTAATATAATTGTAAGTAAGAATAAAGATAAAAGAGAGAGACACGCAAACTTTAACGAGGTTCGAAGGTGGGGTAATCCTTCTACGTCCTCAAAATCCACTATGTAGCTGGTTGTTGAATAATGAACCAACAATTACACTTGTGTGAATTTCTGCACGGTATATCTTCGCAAGGCCAATGTTGCTACTGCACTCGTGCTGGCTTTGTTGTTCCTTCGAAGGTCACGCTTCTTCAACAACTGCAAGGTCCGAACAATAGGACTTGCAAGACCAACTTGTAAGAAAGGTGACCTACCCCCTTTCAATCAATAAGTTTGATCAAAAGTTGTATCCTTCAACGTGGTGTGGTACTTGAGGCAAGGAAACCTTCAAGTATTTACACTATAGCTCTTTGGAAGGAGGAGAAGTTTGCTTCTGGGTAAGGAGTTTAGAAATCTCTCTTTATCAAGCTTTTTGGGCTAACTGTGAATGAGGTAGCTTTGTTGTGGTTGTTTATCTTATCGTTGT